CTTGTGCTCTTCTCCCTTAATGGTCCTCGGGTCCTCTGTTTCTGGACTGTAACATTAACTATTCCCCTGTTTTTGTTACAAACTTCTACCTTTACAACTGTCACAATTAGTCATGATAACAATTACCCACTATTGAATCATAAGAATCTTAGCCCCATTTCTTTTCAACAGACCCATCTAGACAAGATGAAAACTATTTAGTGAGAACTCTATCTTCCTCCACACCCTCTTAAACTAAACTCCCTTTTGAAAATTTGTAAGCCAGTTACTTTTTGCCTTTATTGCCCCCCTCATTTTAGGTAGCCAATGTCTAAGTTACCTGTCCCTACCTACCCTGTATACAGAGGGAATAGCATTGCCTCTTGATGTGAAAACTCGTTCCCTCTCTGTTGGTATTTTGAGCTACTACATCCATGAGTATAGGCCAATTTCACCAAGTTGTAGCAATTTATCCTCATTTCCTTTATTAAAAATTTTTTTTTAACTTCCTCTAGTTGAGTTCTAATTATTAAGCCATTGAGGCAAGGTCAAATCTGCAAGTTTGGGTGTTCCTGTGCATTTCCCCTCACTTCATATCAGTTGGATGCTTCACTCTAATTATAAACAAGTTTAACAGAAAAGTCACATTAAAACACATTATCTTAAGTGCTTTAAAAGAAGTCACATATACCATTTCCATGTAAAATGTCCAATTTTTAATGCATTTGAATTTTTTTAAAGGAATACCAAACGTTTACATCCAATGGGTATTCTCATATATCAATAAATACAATTAAAATAATTCAATTTATGTCTATGATTTTTCAGGCTAGTGCCAAAAAATAAACCATCATTTAGTTGTTAATAGGTTCTTGTTAGGTATATTTTGGAGGGAAAAAAAAGAAAGAAAACTTAACATGCAGTATATTTCAGAATGTATTTTATTGCCATCGTGTATAAATTGTAATTTTATTTATATTTGTTAGCAGAGAATATGATTCTCCAAAAATGTTACCAATTTCTTTATTTTCTTGCATATATGCTTGATTCTAGGCTACATAAATTAAATGGGGTTTATTTGAATCCAACAATAGTAAGCCTATTTAATACATTTAATGATAGAATACCAAAGTAAGTCATTTAGAATAATACAGGCACCAAGCCGCAGTCCAAATCTTAGTTCAAATCCAGTCTGAGAGCAAGTTCTCCAGCTGCCTGATATACTTACATTGTCTGGTAGGACTTTATAAATGCATATTGACCACAATCCAATTCTGAGATGAAAGCAGGTGTTAAACATAACTGGTCGAAGTCTTATTAAGCATTGTCAAGTTTCTTGGCTTAATTGGGTGTGGCACAGAATACCCAGGGACTGGATATCTGAACTTTTGTTTCTTTTTGTTGCAACAGCAGAAACCACAGAGCAGACCCCCTCCAGTGAAGAGAACAGCTGCACTTGCCCAGCCTAAGAAAAGTGCCGCTCCCAGTTCTCGTTTCTGACCTGCGTGGATGGCTGGGTTGTAGAAATCCCTGATGATGATATTGGCTGTCCAGCACACTGGAATCAGAACGAAGATGCCTGTCAGGATGAAGAGAACTCCGGATGTGCCCAAAAGGTACACTTTGGTCCTCTCATTAGCCCCTGTGCATTGGATCTGCTTCATGCCACAGATGCCAATCAGTAAGGAAATCAAGGAGAGAGCAACTGCCACACACATGAGTGCTCGTGCTGCTTCCAGGGCAGGTGGGAGTGCCAAAATAGAACTATAGAATTTGCACTGAAGCCTGACCCTGGCTTGTCGAATGCAGTTCATCCAGAGCCCTTCCCAGATCCTTTCAAAGACAATAATGTTGCTGCCAACAAAAGCTGATACTCTCCATTGAGGCAGAAGGGTGGTAGCAAGAGTGCCAACCATGCCAAGAAAGCCAAGAACCAGGCCAGCAATTTGCAGGGGATAAAATGCCATTTCCTTTACCTTGAAGATTGTTGTAATCTAGAATGCCAGGAGATACTCAAGATGCAGAATGCAGAGGGCTCTTGGAGTCTACAGCAATCTCTGATGATCTTCTCCACTGCTACCATCCATAGCGGTTTAGTTCAAATCAGCAGCAGTGACTGAACTTAGACTAACTAGAAGTGCCAGTTGAAAACACATGCTACCTTGTACACACACACACATTCTTTTCTGTATGGATTATTTACTAGTCATTTATAATTGCTTCCCAGCCAATAAGAAGTAGTCAGAGGTGTGTCAAGAAATATGACATTCAGCTTCAGTTTTCCGCATATCATAATTGTCTTAGCAATGTTGTAATTAAGTGTCAAAGCTTTCATTGTGGATTCAGCTAATTATAGAGCTGAAAACTTCCTGGCTAAAACTCACTGTGCTATACAATTGCAAATATGTGTATTAGGTTGCAACTGAAGAAAACTTCAAAACCTTGCCAGTTCTTTAGAGAGCAATTAAAAAACACTTTGGACATTAGATGATGTATGACTTTCTTCTAGTCAAAGCCACCTTTATTTAATTTGGTTCATTAAATCTGGCTTAAATAAAGACTTCTAGTTAAGAAAAAACGCTTATGTATTAAAGGAATTTCAAGACTTCAACTAAAAATCCTGTTACTTTGTAAAATAAGGTGTCCTAGCATAGTGGTTACGAATCAGGCTCTTAACCCCAAGTCGGCAGTTCGAAACTACCAGCTATTCCGCACCAGAAAGATAAGGCTTTCTGCTCCTGTAAAGATTTACAGCCTCGGAAACACTGTACAGGATAGCTATGAGTCGGAACTGACTTCATGGTACTTAACATCAACAAGCACAAAATTTAGATTTCAACATTTATTTTTAAGATTTAGAAAGGAAGGACAAAGAGAAACACTCCTTCCAATTGATTTGAATTTATTGATAATCATTTACTTCTCCTCTTGTTGCATCTTCCAGTCTTGTAAAATAAGGTTTAAAATGCAGACTTTCATCAGATTTGTCATCAATGGCATCTTGGAATATAGTATGTTTATTAAAATCAAGGTTTTGATTGATGATTTTTATGGAGCAGCAAGCTTTAGATTAACCAATCATTTAAAATTCAACTAATAGAAAACATTTAAGATCTTTAAGTTACCTTTAATTTAGCACACTAAGTCCTCCATTTACCAGATGTATAGTATGAAGCCCACATAGTACTTGGGCACAGCTAGCTCATGGTAACTGCTTCAGGAATAAACCCAAGTCGAACTCACTACACTCGCCACCTCCATCTAGTGTAAATAAAAAATTGGAGGGAGAGGTGTTTTTTAATACTTTTTCCATATGAATGGGACATTCATTATACTTCTCATTAGAGCATATAAAGCATTATGTTGTTGTTATGTGCCGTGGAGTCAGTTCTGACTCATAGCGACCCTGTACAGGGTTTCCAAGGCTGTAAATCTTTACGGGAGCAGAAAGCCTCCTTTTTCTCCCGCGGAACAGCTGGTAGTTTCGAACTGCTGACCTTGCAGCCTGCAGCCCGATTCGTAACCACTACGCTACCAGAGCTCCTTCATACTTCTCATAAAATTTTCAAAGAATGAAAATATTTTTTCTAGACTTTTTGGAATTCAAAAGTCAAGTTGCCATATGTGGCTACAGACCACTTCCTGTTGTTGCCTCGAGACAAAGGGCTTAACCTGGGAAGTGTGCCCTTTTCTTTTTTTCTTTTCACATCACACTACAGCTGTTTTGAGGGTAAAAAGTACTCAAAAGCAAACACAACAAGTATATTTTAGCAGGGAAACAGAAGAGTTTGAAAAGATGTCATGTATTTCCACCAAGCACTGGTCATCTAGTGCCATCCATATTTTAAAAACTGTTATTGAATTAAAAATTTAAAAACAAAATATTTGTGTTGTCAAGATGAATGGTCCATGGAGATCTAGTTTAGGTTTATTATTTTCTGATGCCCCCTCTTTTTATTTTTTTATTTTCTTAGCAATGTCCTAAATCAAATGAGAACTCCTTTTCTAAGGAATGAGTCATTGAGAAAACATGATTTCTGGGTTTGTTCAAAGTTGCCTAATACCAGTTCAGGAAGAAGGATTTCCTAGGTGCTTTGTTTGCAATTCCTAAGGCACTGGTGTAACAATTCCCACCCTGACAGAAATTACACATATTAATCTGACATTACTCTTCCTCATACTTCTTCCTCTGTCTAAGTCTCATTTGTATTCTATTTCCAGTTTGTCCTGGTATTACCAACTTGTTCAAGTTTTCACTATGGACACAACTGACAGCACATGAAAGTACATCTTTATAAGAATGATATAATATTATAATGTAAGAATAATCTGAGAAAAATCCATAATGGAGGAGCTCTTGTTTCTTGCCCTTCACAGCCAAAATCAGTTGTCAAAACCATCTTTATTTTCATTTCTTCATAGTTAAGAAGAGATAAGACCTTCGTCTCCAACTTTTCTGTGAATCTCATACCTTTTCAACATCTTCAAATGTCTTTCCTCCATTGATCATTCTCTCTCTATATCTACAAACTCTCACTCTGAGTTGTCCTTTGAAATACAAACATAACTTGTTATTTTCCATTATAAAATTTAATTTATCAGATATATTGTTTATTATTTATCACCATATATCTTTTGCTCCATTCTTACATTTCGCATTACCCCACACATTGCACTGTATCTTCCATCACCATACTACTCTTTCAAGTTGTGTTAGAAATATGAAGGATTTCCTGGACTTCCCAAAAAGAACACTTTCCTATCTTTTCTTACTTGACCTTACTATGGAGTCAACACAATGATCCAATATCTCCCAGTTAAGACAATATAGCTTAGTTGATTAGTAATGGATTTGATGAGAAACTTGTTTTCATCTTGGCTGGATTTCTTCACCATCAATCTTGGAAAAAGTTTTCAACTTCTAAAAATAATCTGTTCTAATTAAATGAGAATACTAATAGTAACATCAACTTCATATATCTGCTTTGAAGATTAATTTTTGTTGGTATTCACCAAACAATTTTATTCTCTCACATTTTAGGAGAGAAGAAATTCAAACTCTAGAAGGAGTGGGGAGACTTTCTTTCACTGTTAGCTGTGGGGAAAGGGTTTGTCATCAATCTTCCCTTAGGTTTAAGAGTTTCTCATCACTGTAGACCCTGGGACTACAGTGCTCTATACCTCAATTTTATTTTTAAGCTATTTTATTGTGAATTGAGTGAAGGTCTATGGAGAAAATCATAAGTTTTATATTTAAAAAACCATACATTTTGTAACTTCTCAATGATTATTTTCCCCTTGTGACAGTTAAAATTTTATGTCAACTTGACTGGACCAGTATTGTTTGTGTTTTGGCAGTTGACATGTAATTATCCCCCATAATGAGATCTATTATAATGTAGTAAGCTCAATGATGAGATTTGTTCTCAGTAGTCAATCAATTAAAAGGGTATTTCCTTGGGGATGTGGACTGCTTCAAAAATGTTAGACATTCATGCAAGTCTTGCTTGCTTTCTGCTTGGTCTGAACCTGGCAACTGGCTCATCTTCTGACTTCTGGTGCTCTGCACTTGAGCCAGTGACTTGCTCTATTCCTGTCAACCTGCCAACCTTTCTGCCTGTCAGATCTGCCTATCACATTTGATGTCAGACCTGCCAGCTTGACTATCTGCCTGCCTGACAGTCTGCCTGACTTCAGGACCTGTCTGATGGACCTGTTTGTCTGCTATCTGATCTACCAGTCTTCAACTGACCTGGGCTTGAGACTTGCCTACTTCTACAATTGTATGAGCCATTTCCTTGATAAAAGCCCAGGTCAGTTGAACCAAGATTGGCATTTAGCAACAACATATATGTATGTATATATATATATATATATATTATATATTTCACTGGTTTCACCTTTCTAGAAAACTTAGCCTAAAATAAAATATTTGATACTGGAAGCTGTTCTACAGAAACAAAATTGTAAGAATGGGTTTCCTAAGTTGGTTCTTAAGTATGACTAGATTTAACAGCACTTATAATTGTTTTTATTAGTAAAAAGGGCACTGTGAATCCATGGTATGAGGTCACAATGTTAATATGCCAAATATCACCGTAGATCAAGTATTCATGACAAGTAAGACACCTGGTAATTGGGCGTTTGGTACTTTTCTGTAGTTTTGTTAGGGTGGTAAGTGTAGGGAAGATGAGAAGCTGGGTTCTATGAAGAAAAATGTGGCATCAGGATTGGAGGAAGAATCATTAACAACCTGCGATATGCCGATGACACAACCTTGCTTGCTGAAAGTGAAGAGGACTTGAAACATTTACTTATGAAGATCAAAGAGCACAGTCTTCCATATGGATTTCATCTCAATGTCAAGAAAACAAAAATCCTCACCACTGGACCAATAAACAACATTCTTATCAATGGAGAAAAGATTGAAGTTGTCAAGGACTTCATTCTTCTTGGATCAACTATCAACATTCGTGGAAGCAGTAGTCAAGAGATCAGACAACATATTGCATTGGGCAAATCTGCTGCACAGGAACTTTTTAAAGTGTTGAAGAGCAGAGATGTCAGCTTGAGTACTAAGGTGTGCCTGACCCAAGCCATGGCATTTTTAATAGCCTCATATGGATGCGAAAGCTGGACAGTGAATAAGGAAGATCGTAGAAGAATTGATGCCTTTGAGTTGTGGTGTTGGAGGAGAATACTGAAAGTGCCATGGACTGCCAAAAGAACCAATAGAACTGTTTTGGAAAAAGTGCAGCCAGAGTGCTCTTTGGAGGCCAAGATGGCTAAGCTTCATCTCTCATACTTTGGACATATTGTCTGGAGGGAACAGTCGCTGGAGAAGGATGTCATGCTGAGTAAGGTGGAGGGTCAGAGAAAAAGAGGAAGACCCCTAACGAGATGGGTTGGCCAGGTGGCATCATTGATGGACTCAAGTGTGGCAGTGATAGTGAAGTTGGCCCAGGATCGGACATTGTTTCGTTCTGCT